TTCTCATTGGAGGAAGCCAAATTCGGCAGTTCAGCACTTTCGGCCAAGTGAAGCAACCCTTTAGCTCTTTTGAGTCTATTTTCTTTCTGTTGTGGTGTAAGTTCTTGCACATTTTGGAATTTCAATGGCTTTACCCCTAGCACATTTTTAAATATTTGACGAATGGAATATTGCGATATGTTCAGTTCACGAGCCATTTTTCGACCACTGCGACGCGGGCTTGGATTAAGTCGCTTCTTTACTTTTCGAACCACTTCTGCTGATGTTGCAGTTTTCTTCCGTCCACTTCCTTGACGTCGGGCTACGCCACCAGTATTACGGTAACGAGCAATGGTACGAGACTCAAAAGATTTATTCACATTTAAATGCGGAAGTGCTCTAACGATAGCCAATTGTGGTTTTCGAGCCGAATGTAAAGAAATCACACTATCACGCTTGAATTCCAACACGAATAACTTTTTTTTTTTGGAAAATTATCACCAAAATGCTTTTGTACTCTTGTAAATGTAAATATAATTAGCTGTCGTGGGAATAATTTAAACAGCTGTCGGTCGAGTTTCTTAGGAATGGCAGCAGTCTGAAGTTGGTTGCAGTTTTTTATGCATTATTATTTTGTTTTTTGTTTTTGGAAATTTGTACCAAAAAAAGTTTTAAAAAATACTAAATATAGTACTGCTTTAGCTAGAACTTTCAAAAATCGATAGTTCACAATCCCTAGTGGAGTCCGATTTAAAAATTCGTACATTTCTGGGACTAAAATCGTACGAAAAATTTACTACAAAAAATGTGCCAATAGTATTAAAGGAGAAGTTTAGAAGCCAGAATGCTGCAACTTGAATTGAAAGTGGTATAAAGTGCGATTCTTTTGCCTTTAATGTGATGAAAAGTACAAACAGGCACAAAATGGTACTGTACCGTTCTTAAACCACCGGTCAGCGTTAGAGTTTTGTTTTTTTCCTGAAGCACACCTTCGTGTGCTATGATCCATGGAATGACGAGAGTCGTATTCTAAGTGTGTGAAAAGTACTAAACGATAAAACATTGTTATGAAGCGTTTGGAAGAAGCTAGTACTAGCTACCATAATAATTATTATTGACGGGAAGGACTGTGCCGAAGTGCTTAAACAAATGTTATTATTCGGTTATCAGTAAGAGCTCGACAATTTTTAATTGAGGTCGAATGCTTAAAATTGGCTGAAGGTGACTGGTGGTATAAAGGGAGAGTACAAGGCGGATTTTTTCCGTGTAAAGTTTAAGAAATGTAAAAAAAACATAAAATGACACACAACCGTTCTGTGAAATGTTATATGCAGCAAACCTTTGTGTGCCGTGATTGATATAAAGAGGAAATAAGTACTTCAAGAGTACGAAAATTGCAGAAAGTAACAAGCTTGTACTTTGAAATATTGTGTGAAGATCACTATTGGTAAGAAGGGCTAAAATAAGGCGGAATTAAAAAATCTGCTTTAAGATACAAACAGTACTAAAAGGTTGTTATTGAGTGGTTGGTAAAAGTTGGACATGTTAAATTTTTTGACGAGAATATCTCCTGGTGCAAAATCTTCACTATCACTATATCTTTGTCATAACATGTGACATGGTTATATTTGGGGTATCATGAATGATTAGAATATTGACTTCTTAGTGCGAAAGATAGGTCTACTTATCACATCTTAATGTTGGACCTGTTTTTAAGACATAGGGGTCGAGTGTTTACGGACTTATTCCGTCTCAATAATTGACCTTAAATTTGTAGAAATATAGGAAGAAAAAGGATATATAAAAAACAAGTAAAGAAAGTCTTAAAGTCGGGCGGGGCCGACTTTATGATACCCTACACCACTTTGCTAATTTAGTAGAGCTCCGCATAACAATTAAAAGTTTTTATGGGAGAATTCAATCGTATACGCTATGATTATAATTATAATTTAAAGTTCAAAGGACTAAATATGCCGAAGCATTTGTATCTTTTAAATTCGCATTTGTTTTGCCCATTTGGTGCACAATTAATTTGAAATCGGATAAAGATATATATGAAAGCTATATCCAAATCGGAACCGATCTCGATAAAATTTGGCAAAGATATTCCTGAGCTGTATTTGATATATTTCCTTGAATATCGTTGTTATGGAGTGCATATTACGGCTGTGGGTAACAAATATATCAAATCGGATGAACAGTATATATGGGAGCTATAGCTATATCTGAACCGATCTTCACCAAATTTGACATACTAGCTTCTAGACTCAATTCGGTCGTAAGTGCCATTTGGACACATATTAGACGTTTGGTGCACAATCAAAGGTAAATCTGAACCGATCTCGATAAAATTTAGCAAATGTATTTCTGAGCAGTATTTGATATATTTCCCCAAATATTGTTGTTACAGAGTGCATATTACGGCTGCGGAGGACAAAAGTTACAAATCGGATGAACATTCTATATGGGAGCTATGGCTATATCTGAACCGATTTCGATCAAATTTGGCATACTTATTTTCAGGTCCAATCTGATCGTACGTGCAGAATTTCATACTATTCGGACTGATATTACACGTTTGGGGCACAATAAAAGGTAAATCGGAGAAAGATATATATGGGAGCTGTATCTAAATTTTGACCGATTATCTCCAATTTCAATAGGGTTCGTCCTTGGGCCAAACAAATGATTCGTGCAAAATTTCATCTGGATAGGGCAATAAATGCAAACTGTACTTTGTTTACAAATATACATGGACAGACAAAAGGAACTATGGGTTCCATTGGGTCTATCTGGTTTCCTTTTTCCTGTTACAAACAAATGCATAAAGGCATAATACCCTGACCACCTTGTGGTGTAGGGTATAATTATAATAATTTGTTCCACATTGTACGTAAAATGTGGAAGGTACCAAAATGAGTGGAGCGACTTATCACATTTTAATAGTTGATCTATTTTTTTAAGATATAGGGATCGGATATTCAATCCTTTCATTTGAAAAAAAAGAAGTTGTAGTCAAAAAAACATAACCTTAATATGATAGAAATCAAATATTGATTAAAAAAATCAAACTAATATAAACGAACTACTGAATACGGGACTTCTTATTTACACCTAATTTTCGCCCATCACTGTCACATTGGACCTTTTTTTCTCCTCTGCATTTGATCTACAATGAGATGAAAGCAAGTTTTAAACAGTTAGGTGCAGTCTAAATAATTTACCTTATGCGGAAAAATTATTAACTTTTCATATTTCTTTTGTTCCTTTTGCTATATAAATGCTACGTTCATTTTTATATCAATCCTAGCCTTTACTTCTGACACCTTATTAATACGCATACATTTCTACAAATTTAAGATCAATTATTAAGATGGAATATGCCAGTCTGCATCCGATCCCTATATATAAATAAAATCCAGGGGCCTCCTATTTGACCCCCTATTTTCAACAGCAACTCTCATAATATTGCGGATGCGTAGTTTTCCTAGCAACTAACTCGAATTCGAAAACACCTTTCCTATTTTTGGGTTGCCATATCCGAGCTTAGGATACCTTTACTCTATTTTCGGATATTAATCACTATGTACTTCGAATTTAGAAGTCATGGTCGTTCGAAAGTTGACATGCCTCTATAGTAAAACGTGAACCTATACATACAATATTCTGCCACCAGAGGTAGAACCCGTTACAAACTCTTAATACCACATTTAGAACAATTCCGTGGAAAAATATCGAATATCGGGAGTAATCGTTATATAATAATTTTAATATACCCTCCTTTTCATACATGGATCGATACAAAGCAAAGCCCATTACAGACCATGCTAAATCTTATGAATGCTCGCTAAGGTTATATTAAGCCACCGGAAACACAAGCAGACAACACAAAATACCTAAGTACATCCAGGCAAACAATGACGGAAGCAGGCGAAATCATTGCGAAAGAATCGGTTTGAAGATAGCGTAATAAATTTACTGCAATTGAAGAGCTTGTGACAAAAAAAGCAACAGAATCCTTTTTTTTGGGCACGTGAATGAACTTAAATATTTCTTGTTTACTTTCATCATTTTATATTTCACGAAGTATAATTCAGAATAATATACTCGAAAGTACTGCCAAGTGGAATAAATTAGTTGCAGGACTTTTTACTCGATCCGAACCTGTTACATGGTAAGAATTTAAATTCGGATCGAATGTAATTTTCGACTCATTCGAACTTTCGAATCGAGTTACATAGTTACCCTCCTGGATTTGTTCTGCAGTGCTATTCAATACTAATTATGTAACGTATACGCTATTATTACTCATTCGACACGGACATATGAAAAAAATCTAAGCCAATTACAAGTAGTTACCAGTTTGGTAATTTGTTTATATTTCATCTAAAAAATCAAACCTTTTCCATCTTTGTATTTCGACTGACTTCAATTCAAAAAAACCCCTGTTTAAATTTAAATTTAAAAATTCCAAGTCATATCTTCGTTCCCCTACAAAAAAAATCATAGTTTTAATAATGACCTGACAAAAGTGGTGAAAACTTCAACCAAACTATTTAAGTACTAATTGTTGACTTATGAAAATATCCGTAACTTTATATTATATATATTGTGAATGTATGTTATGAAAAAGTCAGGCGCAATTAAAAACTTGTAGAGATATGGAGAGAGTTTTGTCATACATTTATTCTTATTTTTTTTTGTTGGTTCTGTTCCACTCAATTCGACCCGAGCAACATGATGAGCTGCCATGACAAATCAACGATGTTGAGCTGTATTCAGCAATGAGGACAAAAGTGAAACTCGAGCAGCAGTAGCACCTACACAAACACAAACACACATTTCCCGTTATAAATAACATGAACAAACTTTTGTGGCTTATTTCGATGACCATTTATGGCATTTTCAAACTTCTGCCCTCGCCAAACACACACATTCATTTTCTCTTCCTTCCATGAACTCGGGTGGGTCAATGAGAGTGTGACGCTATGTGCTTTTGGGGGTTATAAACTTATACTTACCTGTCCAAATGAAATGCAGCAATTTCAGCATTGTGTCTCTCATAGTCGGTGAAGTAAAAATGATTGGGTAAAGTTTGTTGGTCCCTGGGGAATCTGAAAAACACACAAAACGGAGGACAATCATGAACAAAAGTGAAAAACATGAAAAATTAAATTGCCAAAGATTAAAGGTGAAATGAAAACAAGCGAAGCATTAAATTCAATAGCCACAAGAATTAATTTTAAAAATTTAAACGTGAAGGTCACAATTTATGGCGCAGAGAAATAAATAACATTTGACATCATTTTAAATAAAGGAAAATATTCGATTTATTCATTTTTTTTCAATAAAATGTAAATTTTCTTTTAATATTTAAATTTAAATTTTTTTACACCATTATGTTGTTGGTATTAGTATCTCGAATTAAAGCATGTGCTTTCGTGTAACTGATTATTTTAACAAAATTTAATTTAAAAATCATTCAATAATATACCTTGTGGTTTTATGGATTATGTTACAAAAATTAAAACTAAGTTTCTAAGAGTGTACATTTCGTATAAATTAAGTTAATTTAAATTTCATTTTTATTGTTAAAATCTAAAACCTGTATAGAGACAAAAACGTGGACAAACCAATACAATACTGAGATATACTAAAACAGTGGTATACTATTTTATTTATAAGAATAACGTCTGAAGTGTTGTCATCAATGGTTGGTTTTTATAATCCCAAATAAAATAACCATGTATGTGTTAAGGATTAAATCCTCTGAAGTATCTGTCAATAGCGTCGCTGAATATATATTTTTAAATTTAAACGGATTAAGTCTAAGCTCCAAATCTCTCCAGATTACAGCAAAAGTGCGATATATTATAAAAGCAGGTCTAAAAATAGAAGACGACTGTTTTATTTTAAATATTCACATTACTAAATAATCTAAATAGAAGAGGATGTGTCTTTTATTTTCCAATTTTTTTTTTTTTTTGAAAATTTCGAACAGGATTCGTTTTAATCTTAGCATTGTAGCTATAATGCCAAATAGAAAGCAATAATTCTGATAAAAATAAATAATATCGATTAATGTTTTCTTACAGACCTTACCATATTTTGCAATCGAATTTTGAGTAGAATATTTTCTACCAACAAATTTCATGGAGATCTATGTTACGGAGTAGCGCCCATAAATAGGATACTCCCGAGGGTCATTGCCATATTTTCCAAACGATTCTTCAAAAAATTCTGATTTTTGGGTTTATTGGGATTATAAAATCTTCCGGCAGAACTACTAATAAAAAAATATGGCTATACCCTCGGATTATCTAAAATCTGACTATATTTATACCCAAGAAGTGGACCTATATTAATATTGCTAATATAACCCAAAATGCCCAAATAACCCAAAATGCCAAATTTAAATGGAAAATAACATTTGAGCGCATTCAAAGAATGTGCTGAATATGTCGTAAATAAAAAAAAAAATAATAAACCAAATTGATGATGTATTTCTATGGTCATATTGCATACAAATTTACATATTTCTTTTGTCCAGAGACTAATTATCTAATCTAGAATATTACTTTCTTTGACACTTTCCCCAAAAATTTCAACATTATGAAAGATTTTGATCCAGTCTAGAAATATATTAAATTAACAGTCAACAAATAAAAAAAGTGGTTAATTTAACCCGGACTGAACTTTTATAACCTCCACCATTTAGAAGGAACATGAAATATTAAAAAAAATGTGGCTATACGAAGTCGTGGACCTGCATAGACAACTTTCTATATTATCTCTTAAGTCATAAAAATACCGAATATTGGGAGGTATCGTTATATTGGGGTTATACGAAAATGTGGACCGACATGGCCCATTTACGAACATAACCTGCCTACAGGAAAAATACACATGTGTACAAATTTCTAGCCTCCTATGTCAATTGTTTGGTGATTACTACTGACAGACAGACATTGCTAAATCGCTTAAATGTTGGGTCTGACATGCGTATTTCGAGGAGTCGAAAACGGAATGACAAAGTTAGTATGTGAAAATTTCAACTATAATCTTTTAAAAACTATTATACTCAGCTGAATAGATTACTCAGAGACATATAGTAACATTTGTAATACTTTCTGTTAAAAACGTATGTTATGTTACAACTCGAAAAAAAGACAAGAATAATTAACGACAAAATTAAAAATATTTTTGTTTTCTTTTTGGTCAAATTGAAATCATTTTTTCTTAATTTATAATGGAAATAGAGATTTCTTTTCTTTGTTGGCTTTTATTGAAATGTAATGAGGAATATTTTTGTCTTCGGTGTCATTTCTCAAAAATAATTTGTCGTAGGAAAATTTAAACGGAGGTTTAAAAATTTGAAAAAAAAAGGACCAAAAAGACGCATTTTTTGACTAGCTTTTAAACCACAAAGCTAGTCAAAAAATGCGTCTCAAAAGAATCCTCGTTTTGTTATCAGTATATTGTAGAATATACCCAAATACAAGGATTCCACGAAATCTTAATTCAAAACTGTAACAACTCGCCCCTCTATGTAGTTTGCTGTCAATGTAACCTTTCATATACGTTTTTTCTATTTTTTCTATTTAAGCTTTACTTTAACAATATATTGTGTAGTCCTACAATATATTTCCTGAGCCAGAACCTTTGAAACACTTCACCGATTAGCCAACAGAAAAATTTGTTAAAGTAAGCATTATGGACATTTTTTATGGTAAAATTTGTGATCTGGGTATGTGTCATGCTGACATATTGAACATGGGTATCGATTTCCCTTTAAAAATTAGCCAATTTTTAAGATCTAATTAAATTTAATTTTTTTGTTCATTCTTTATCACTGTATTATTTACTATTCTCGCATCTCTGTTTTTGTGTACGTTCGAGTAATAATGGCGAATTGTATAATTAAGAAACAATTCATTTTTGATATTTTTCATTTTCTTTTTACAATTGTGCTTCCGTCATTTTTCTGTTTTCGTCATTTCATCTTAGTTTGTTATTATTTTTGTTGTCTGGTTTTAAAAGGAAAGATAAATGACATGGATTTATTGTCTTAATTGTGGAATGGAAAATTTCGAGGAAAATGATATGAAACGTATGTATTTGCTTTTTACGTTTGTGTTTCTGTCTGATTTATCATCATCATCATCATCATTGTATTCGCAATGCGAAACTTTTACTATAAATGCAGAAAATATAAATATATTTTGTTTAAGATAATCAAGAAAATATTTTCACAGAGATTAAGCGACAAATTTCTAAGAAATCAAAAAAAAAAAAGTATTTGTGAAGAATGTTATGAATAAATAGAGGCAAATCCAAATAAATACTTTGGTAAATAGTGTGGCATTGAGTAATAAGTAAAATAAATGTCCAATATCTGGGATATCCAGGATTCAATATTAAATTGTTTTGAAAAAAAAATGTTTTCATTTTTAAACATTGTTTTTAAAATGCTTATTTAAATTTCATTGAAAACTCATTTCGACAATTGTTTAACAAAATTATTAACTAAATGCAATATAATTTTATACTCAATCGGCATAATTTAATGAATGCGTTTAAAATTAATACGTAAAACCTTCTTATGCATTTAATGAAATGAATTATTGCAACCGATTTTTAAATGCGACTAAAGATGTAGTAGCAGCCGCATCATCAACGGCATGGCAAACAATTAATTCTTGTAAAGTTATTTCATCAACAGAAGTTGTGTGCAGAGCAAAAAACAAAAAATACATTTAATATAATTAAACAAGAGTTCCATTAAAATGAATTAAGTCCAAACGATATGGAAAGGATGAAAACCGGAATATATATGTACAGGGAAATGGTGAGTGAACCAATTTCGTAAAATTCACACAACAAACAAGAGTATTTTAAGTGCGTTTTATTGACCATGTGAATAATAACGACCTTTTTTACTTTTTTTTTTTGAAAATTTGAAGAATCCCACATGAATTTTGAGAATTTCGATATAATTCTTTTAAATGTTGAATGATATATTTAAATTATGTTGGTTTATAACTCAAAATTAACCATTTGTATTTAGTTGAAAATTTAAGATATTAATCGGAAAATTTAGTTTTATCTTTTAACGGTGGCATTTCAGTGGCCACATACTACCGTCGATTTGTAGGGGTTCATATATGACAGGAAAAAACAGTAAATTACCATTAAGCTTATTAATGTTTAATTCTCACATTTGTGTGATTCTCTTTTTAAGAATGTTTGTTTGTTCATCAAAGGGTGGCAAAAATGGAAATGTCGTCTGTCCTCTCGGACCATGATTTGGAGTTAATTTTTTAAAATTCTTAAATCTGTGTTCCGCTTTGGGCAAATAGATATAAAAATGGAATATGAAAACAAGTAAAAACGAGTAAGCAAAGGCTACAGTCGAACGGGGCCGACCGTTAAATACCCTACAACACCATAATAAACGACACAGTTTATATAGGCGAGATACTCGAAAGAATTCCACAAGATATTGTGACAAATAATAAAAAAACCAACAGGTTGCGGTCTCTAATTTTAGAATAATAGCAACTTTAACTAATTTTCTCATTTTCAATTTATTGGAAGATGTTGCACGTAAACGGTCTTCCTAGATCTGGAACCAATATTTCCCAAAGAAATATAATCTCACAGAAGTGGCAAAAGATTAACATTTATTATTGGTTTTTGACTGAAACGCATCTATATGAGATAGAGACATTTGACTATATTCTTCAACGAAATCAGCGTTAACGAAATAGTCAGAAGTGCGTCTTTCCTGTATTTGTGAATTCTACAAAAAGTCACTGGAATGGACATTTTCGTATTTTGTCTACAAAAGTTGGCAAACTATTTCACACATTGAATATTTTTGGATGGTCATCCAAAACTGCTTGGCTTTTGCAATGTCCGGTAACCCCCATTCAAATGTGCGTGAGGATCGCACTTTTGTGCACTTTTGCACTTTTTGGTCCATTTCAACCCCTAAATATATGGCGATCATCTTCAAAACGAGTAGGCTTCTATTCTGACCCTCATCTTATCCCCATGCAAAATTTCGTAAGGCTCGGGCCATAAATGCGATCTGTATATGATATCCTGATATCCTAACCACTTAGTTTTGTTAGCTGTAGAAATATTACCAAATGTTTAATTCAAAATGAAAATATGCCAAAAATGTGACAAAATTGAAAAAACGTGAGAAAATGTTACAAAGTCAATATTTTCACCTTTAGAGAAATATTTTTATGCGATTTTTTTAGACGTTTTTTCTTTCCTGCCAAGAGGCCGAAATCAGTTCAGCCGTTCTCGACATATAAGAGATCTTTCAAGCATATCTTCTTTGATAGACATATATATCGCACATATTTTGCTATATATCCTATTTGTTGGATGTTAACATCAATGTAAAGATCAGAAGTAACCCTGTCATGGCTTTGTGATTTCGCCGGGATTTAAAATATTCGCGGTTTAATGAAAAATTTTGAATTTTTTCAACACAAAAGATATGGTCTATTTTACCCGCTAAATATTATCCGATGACCACCCAAATTGGTAGGCTTCTTTCCCGCCCTAAACTCTAGCTACATGCGAAATTCCGCGTCGATTGGTCTTAAATTGCGACCTGTATAGCTACTGCAAAATCCGACATTTTTCAGCATTTGGTCCATTTCAACCCCTAAATACTCGGCGATCATCTCCAAAAGAAATAGGCTTCTATTCTGATCCTAACCCCACCTTCGTGCAAAATTTCGTAAGGATCGGGCCATAATTGCGACCTGTAGCGTGATTACAAATTAACATGGACAGACGGACGGACGGACATACATAGCTAGATCAACTCAGCTCGGCGAGCTAGGAAGATCCATATATACTTTCCCATATGGGAAACCAATATTTCGAGGTGTTACATAAATTCTGGCCCAATCAAACTTATAATACCCCCAACACATAGTGTTGTAGGGTATAAAAGCTGTAAATTCGGTCCGGCCGAACTTTGAATACACTCCACCATTTGGAACGAATTTGGCAATTTTCAAAAAAAAAAAAAAAAAAAAATAAAATCCGTTAAAAATTCTGTTAACATCTTTAAAATACCGAATGAAGCCGTATGTATACGACGATGTGGGCCTGCATAGGCAACTTTTGCCATAAGCCATTACAATATTCAAATGCGAAACTTGAAAAAAAATCAGTGAATAATGTAGATAAAATCATCAAAATACCGAATATCGGGAGGTACCTTAATATGGGGGCTATAACAAAACGTGGCCCTGAACAGACAATTTTCTGTCTTAGGCTGTAGTATCCATTACGAACTTCAAATGCCAATTTTGAAACAATTCCGATGAAAAATGTCGCTATATTCATCAAAATACCGAGTATTTGCGTCCGATTAGAAAAATATAAAATTAACAGCCAAAACTGAAAACATAAAATTTTCACTTTAAATTTTATTTTGTTCAACTTCTAAACCTAGAAATGTAGTATATTCTGAAACTTATAGTAAAATTTGGTGTAGAATATTTCCTTATTTAACTCTATCTACTCAGAGCGATGTTTTATATTACTTTCAAGCATCACATCGAAATAGGCGCCGAAGAAAAATCCGAAAAAAATAATTTCGCAATGATTTTTGGTAAAATTTAAAAAATATATATACGTGTTCATAAATAATATAAATAGGGTTTTTTTGGATATTTATTATTTTTTGTTTTATCCAGAGACTCACAATGAAGTTTGATTTTCAACATTTTATTATCTCACACTTTCCCAAAAACAAAATTAAATATTAAGTTAGATTTTGACTCAGAATGGAAACGAGTTCCATTAGCAGTAAAAAAGGAAAGTATTTATTTTCCACTTTAAATATAAAAACTTTGAATATAATTTTCAAGAAGAATAGAAATACGCAGTCACTTGAATAAATATCCAGTGCGCAATTTAAACCTTTACTATTTAAAAGCCGTTCATTGTCGATACCCTACTCGTAGTGACTTATTTCCTACTTTTAGTCATTTTAAAAATCTTATTAACATATATTTGAAGGTTATGCGGAAGTGGGGCTGATATAGCTCACTTTCAAATAAAAAAAGCATAGATTGACAATTACAATTCTTTAGATTACATGGATGCCAATCTTATTAAAAGTATACTTCGTTTAAAGAACTTAACAAATAATTTTGAAAAAAAAAATGAAGTTACTCTCCATCCACTACACAGTCCCTTCTTATAACCCCATTTCAGGACACTTGTAGAAAATGAATACATTTGTCGGCGGCCAAATACTAGAGTAAAATGGCAACAAATATTTGCAAGCCAGTCAGACACACACGATGAGTTTCAGTTTGAGTTTTCGTTTGTAGCAGCATTTTCACATTTCGATGACATCGTTGCACAGATATCGAAACAAAGGATGACATGTAATCTGTCATAAGAATTGCACACAATAATCCGAAAATACATTTAACGATTCTGTGTAGAGAGGCAATCAACAACAACGAATCCTTATTCTTCTCTGCACACGAATGTGTTTGTGTCTGTGTCTCTTGTCTGCGGATATTGAATGGATGATTGTCAATCCTTTGGTAAATAGCAAACAGCGTATAGGACAATGAGCAATGACTGCTAGTATTGGTGATGAGGACGATTGTTTTGTTTGCAAGTATGTGTGTGTATGAGTGAGTAAGTGCACATGTGTTTGTAGGTTTGTAATTGTCCTGAATGATTGCTATTATTTTATTGTCATTGGCAATTTGATGGAATTCTGAAAAATGACTAAAGACATTTTGCGCTAAAAAAACGATACATATATAATAAGTGGTGGCACAGTGGGAAGCATTGTTTATTGAGTGAAATTGAAAATTGAGGTAATTAGTTGGTAGTTATAATATGTTTTTTATGCAAAAATGAATTAAACTAAACTAACTAAACAATTAAACATTGCAGCAACCTTAGATGGAAAATTGTAATTTAGTCCGTCATTGTAGGTTACTTTTGAAGAATATAATCCAACTGGGGCCATCGAAATAAGTAAAAGAGGAAATCTATATAAATGAAATCATATGAACCCAAAAATGCTGGAAGTGAAGAGTGTGTGCAAAGGAGCCAAATAAATCTGCTGCTCATATAGCGGACAAATATAGCAAAAATTTCGATATTTAGATTTTCGATTCAATTTTTCCAGTATCCACTAAGGATTAATATATAAGAAGTAAAAAAAGAAGCGAATTTCGGCCGAACTTCCCCTACCATTTCGCAAAAATCATGAAAATACTTAGTATCGGGAGGTACGTCATACAAATAATGTTGCTGAAATCATCATAATACCGACTATCGGGATGTACCGTTATATGGGAGCTATACGAAGACGAGGACCTGCATACAAAAATTTTTGTCATAGACTGTAGTACCCATTGCGAACTTCAAATAAAAATTTTTAAATAATTGCGGTAAATAATGTCGCTAAAATCATGAAAATCCCGAATATCGGGAGATATGGTTATATGGGAGCTATACGAAGACGTGGACCTGTATACAAAAATTTTTGTCATAGACTGTAGTATCCATTGCGAACTTCAAATACGAAGTTTGAAATAATTGCGGTAAATAATGTCGCTAAAATCATGAAAATCCCGAATATCGGGAGGTATCGTTATACGGGAACTATACGAAAATGTGGACCGGCATGGCCCATTTAAGAACTTAACCTGCCTACTGGTAAACTATGAATGTATTCAAAATTTTAGTCTTATATCTCAATTCGTTCGAAAGATAGCGTGATTACAACAAACGGACAGACCGACTGACGTTGCTAGTTCGTCTTAGAATTTTACGCTGAATATCCACAATATATATACTTTGTAGGGTCTATTCTGAATATTTCAAGGAATGACGGAACGAAAAAGCTAATATACCCTCCATAGAATGGTGGAGGGTATAAAAATCAGAAACCGAGCAGAAATGCAAATGGGTTCCCAAATTCCTGTTGGCTTTACGCATCATATATCTTTTTAGGAAATTCAATTTGGGTTATATAACTTCATAATCTATAATTGTATATTATTTCTCATACCGCCCTACCAATGTAATTTAATAATCACTGACTGTGTCTAAGAGCTTTTTTACAAAGAGACCAAAAGAAATTATTTTAAATATCTTTCACTGTGTCTTTGCTATTTTTCTGCCACACAAGATCATTGATTGTCCGATATGGCTTAAATACATCTTTCCAATGCAGGCGAGCAAATATTGACGATCCATAAAATTGCAATGTAATTAAAACGGCTGCAATGAATTTACAATGCAAATGTCCATCGTGTCGTTTGTTCTTTTGTTTTTTTTTTGTGTTTTTTTTTTTGCTATGGTGTGAACGATGCCTGCATCATAAGCAGCGCGATAGCATTACATTTAAAGTACATTAACGGAAGTCTTATAATTACCTTAAGAAGAATACATTGCATACATTTAATGATTAATTTGAAATTACAATGGAATCGTATTTAAACGATAAAAAATAAATTGGTTCCTGATTAAAATATAATCAGTTGGCGTATGCAATGCAGCTTAAACTTCTGTTAGTTATTCTACGAAAAATATAAAAACTTCCTTTCGTTTTAATGAAAATTTAATTAGGAAAAGTTTTTTGCTTCTTTCATATTAATTTAAAAATTAATATATTCAGCCCGAAATGTGGTACATTAAAGATAATCAAACTTTGAAAACTATTTTAATATGATAATAGATTTTAACAGCATAACTGATATGTAGCATGGTTTATAATTTGTGGAATATGGTTTTTTTTTCGAAAATAATATGTTTAATCTGGAATCATAATTGTAATTCTCTTTACTTACCTCATTGGCTTCATTAGTGCTTTAATGTTATTCGGATATTCAATCATTAATTTGAGCTGTGTCCCGCCTTCCTTTTGTACTGTAAATTAAATATAAAAAAGAATTACTTAAAGAATTTATAGAAAACGTAACACACATTGTTACATTGTTAATATTAATTCCGGTTACATTTGATGTAAGTGTTATCAATGTAAAACATATTTACATGGAATGTTACAAAAACGGCTACATATTGTCACTGTATTGCTGGGAAACGCAAATTATAAAATGACATTAGAGAGAGAAAGATAAAGAGAGGGAGAGTTATCCTTTTAAGCATTGCACAGTGGTCGCTGCCATTGGCCAAAATTCAAAAAATGAAAATCAGATATTTATTGTCAAATGTGTACACATGAACTCTTAAGAGGTTAAGCTTTTTAGAAAACATAATAATCTTGGATTCATTCTAACGGCCCACTTCGAGAATAGCATAAAAAAAGAGAAATGTAGTTAGTTGCTTTTTTCGGTGGGATTAGTGAAAAAGTAGAGCAAAAATAGAACTGTATTACAAAATTAAATACATTTTAAAATGACAAATCTTGGCATAATTATTGAAAAGCAAGGTATTGACTTATTTTTAGTGCAGTAATTTGTGTGTTTAGTAGTCGTGTATAATATAGAAGATGGGAGTGTTCTGAATTGCCTTTAATATTAATTTTGAAAATAAAATTGAAATTCAGTTAAAGTTTTAATTGTTTTCCCCCCTGAATCCTCCAATGTGATTTTCTTCACGCCATTAGTAATGGTCCTAAGATTCTAAAAGTGCTAATTTAACTTTGAGATTTTGTCAGATGTGTATGTTATGCCCAATATACTGAAGCGACTTCTCTGCAATTTTGTCAGTTTTATGGTGCTAGTGACATAGAATATGTTTATGTTGTTTGGGATTGATAAAGATGTAATTGAGGGGTGTTCAATATTGTCTTCTGGATATAACATTAATGTCGAAAATGTAAGGCCTTTGCACTGGAAACTGCTAAAGAGTTAACAAATATATATCTATTGCACTATCTTCCACCCACAGTTCATAAAATTGCACCCGACATTATACATTTGTCATTGTATCAATTGGAGAATTATAGGATGAGGCCGTGGAGTCTAGAAATGAAGATATAAAAAAGTTTCGACTAAATCATACCCAAAAAATTCTCTTGTTTCAACTAACACAGCTCTTATTAACCGTCTTCTTCTGAGCTCTGATCCTTTTATAACGGGACAGCGAACGTTGCCAAATAATAAAAAATCTATATTATTAAAATGTGCATTTGATATACTTGTGTAACACTGAAATTTATAAATATCCATTAGTTAATTTAACTTAATTTAATTTTATGTTGAATTGTTATTTTATTTTGTTTGGAAAAAAAAAACAAATTTGGAATTTATTTGTATAAAAATTACTTCTATTTTTGGAGGTACTTTTAGAGGTACCTACCGAAGGCGGTCCGTTCCAAATAATTTTAAATAAGATTATTTTTAACACTTTAGAACGTAAAATGTCAAATAACAGAACAATCTGGTGTGGAAATGTGACAAGAATTAGGCAAATAACCCTTGGGCAAATATCTGCACTGAAAGTATTTTTGGCCGCAGTTCCCACACGGCCTCGATCACTGTGCATTGGGAGAAGCTATAGTCAGCAAAATATTTTCCCTGAATTATTTCTCGAGGGCTATGTATGACAAGGTCTCGCCGTAGCGCAGTGAATCGATTTTTTTATACGCTCGTAAACAATATAATGAGCTGACCGTGGAATAATTTTAACAGCTGTCAGACGAGTGGCTTAGAAATGCCAACAGTCTGAAGTTGGTTGCAGTTTTTTCATCTCACCCTTACGTTGCATGTTATTGCGGAGAGTTAAAATATCTACAGAAAACCCTAAATATAAAATTACAGCTGATTTAGTTGGAAATTGGGAGCAAGACTTTTGAGATTTCGAAAATAAACAGGTGTCGTTATATAGGGGCTACTCCCAACAGGGGACCTTCATAAAATTTTTGTTGCGAGAAGAAAAGTTTCCTGCCGGGTACACGAAATACAAATTCCAGCCGATTTGGTTAGAAATTGGACGCGAAGCAAAATGGCACTGCTATATGAGGACAATAGCAAAAAACTGGACCTACATTGAATATTTTTAATAGAAATTTTCCTTTGCAGGTTCGCGTTTTCGTATAGCTCCCATATAATGGTACCTCCCGAAGTTTCGAATTTGAATATTGCAATTGTTTCTGACGTTGTCGTTTAGACGCTAATATAAAGGTTACATTCGGTATTTTTATGACTTTAAAAGAATTTTTAACTGTTTTTTTTTTTTTTTTTGAAAATTGCCAAATTCGTTGCAAACGGTGGATGGTTTTCAAAGTTCGACTCGGCCGAACTTTTAGTTTTTTTTACTTGTTTATTTTTCAAATCTACGTTTATTGGCATTGTGGTTCTTAAAAAAAATTGTTATGGTTCTTTAAAAATATTTTTTTTTTAAAAATCCACTTTTATTGGCATTATGGTTCTTTTAAAATATTAAAAAATCCACGTTTATTTGCATTATGGTCCCTTAAAAATATATTTTTATTTTAAAACCACGTTTATTGCCATTATGGTTCTTTAAAAATATTTATTTAAAAAACCCCCGTTTATCGGTGGGTGCAAAAAATACCCTTTTTAAAAATACACCTTTTTTGGTCGTTTAAAGAATAATTGATAATGGGAGTGAACCGAATTATATATCAGATCTATGGTTAATAGAAACATTGAGATACACGAAGTTTGATGAAAATTGAAAGTACCAGATGTTGCCTATCTCTCGATCTAAGATTGATAATAGTTTTACGATGTAACAAGTTTAAACCAAATCGGATACTCCCTTCGAGAGTTATCGTGGCTACCAGACAGAAAGACGATGGACGGACAACACCAAATGTACTGAAACAAATTTGATCACAAAGAGAAGTAGGGTCTAAAACCGTTATTTCGATGATGCATGTTAAGCCCGTATTAAATGATATGTACCCTTTGTACCCATATGGCTGAGGGTATAAAAATATACTCCTTAGCAAACTAAAAACCTATAACAAATTAAAAAAAAAACATACAATAATTTCAAAATTTTTGCAATTTAAAACAAATTTACAATTTACTGTTCTTTGTAAAGTAACAACTGCAGTCTAAACATAGTGCATGTATTATTTGCATACTCACATACGAACATACATTCACAATATTTCTTATAACAAAAGAATGTGAATTAGAGGTATAACCCAGGAAACCAATGTATATGTGAATATCTGTACAATTTTTTGTAGGTGAGAAAAAGTAACGAATTTTTCGTTCAGCCGATTATTTGCGAGTGCTGTTTTTTAAAGTATTTCCTCCATTTTTGAGCTCGTAAATTTGAAGAAGAGAAGAACTCGTGTGCGAGAGGGACAGTTGCCTATTTCATTGCACTGGACTTTAATGTAACGTTTCGATCAGAGAACACAACTACATGTCCATACGAATATCGGTGCGAACTTGGCCCAAATAAAATTTGAAGCATCTGCACACTTAGAACCGATATTTCAACTCTGATTTTTTGGTATGCTGGGAACAAACTGAGCTTAATTTGAATGTATGTTTGTGCGTGTATGTTGTTCATGGGATACCATTTGTTCTCATTCATTCAGTTTAATAACATTCATACACACCGAGAATATAGTCAAAGTTTTTCATTCACAAAAGTTATTATTTAAAATAAACAAATATTAGTTGTGTATTTCAACAATATGAGTGTTGAATTTTGCTTTCGGTATTTTCATTTAGAAATAACTGTACTTTTATCATTACTAATATGATAATGCATGTGAAGAGAGAGAGAGAGAGAGAAAAAAAAAACAGAAAACTTGTACAAAAACATAAACTCCATACAAATTATGTATAATTTATTTTGAATGAAAGTACACATACAGTTGCATTTGGTAGTAATTACTTTGAAAAGAACAAAAAGATATACAAACTTAAAAAAAAAAAATACCAAATTGAAAATAAATAATGAATAAACCAGGATTGGATATAAAAAAATACATCAACAATTTTAATGGATGATCTGTAACCAAAGACACAACAAAGTAAAATGGACGTCTAAATATTGTGGGTTATATAGTTATCTTGAATACGATTTTAAAATGCAATCATAATATTCTTCAACTCCAACCAATTTTTTTGTTTAAACTAAATAGCATTCCAACCCTAGAAAACACTATTCTCTATTACATCTTCTACTGGCATGGTTTCCTTATATTTAAATTTATGTTTAGAAAATTTGTTAACAATCATTTTCGTATCTTTCTTCCTTATCTCAAATACAAAAAAAAATGTGTAATAAAATAGTTTCGTTATTTATTACCAGCCACATTTATAGACATATTTTATATCATATTTAAAATCTGTAAATTCTATCTGACCTGCAAACACATACACTTCCACATAATGTGTGTGCGGATATAAAATTTAAAATTACAATGGTCGGAAATAGTTTCGTTTGATTTATATAAATATTTAAAACATATATAAATGAATGTGTTTGTTTGTGTTAAGCTTAGAATTAAAAGTATTAAACATTAAATAAAAATAAAACACAATTGCAAAAAATCCCATTTGGAAAATAAATTACATTTGATTCAATTAAAAACATTTTACAAATTCAAATTTATTTTAACGTAATAAAAACATTTTGGCAGATTTAAAAAACATTTTTTTGCACAAAATTATGATGAGTTTAAATACAACTTTTTAAAAGGCATTGCAATTTTGAAAATATGCATTGCTGTTAAAAAATTGTTCGTGGGATTCAATCGACATTTATAGAGGGGTTTTATTCGGGAATTTATTCAACATATTGAACGGACTCACATACATACATCTGCAGTCTTATAAAACTCCAAAGATATTATTTTTCTCAATTTTAGTGGAAATTCATGGATAATTATTCAGTTAAAAGGGAGTGAATATTGAAAGAATAAAAGCAACAGAATGCTTTCTTTATATTAAACTCAGTTTGTAATCTTA